AAAAAATATCTGTATATATATATATATATTCAAAAACCATCATCTCTCTGTATCTGTGGGAATTATTTCCAAAACCCTAGAGGCCAAAACCTGCAAGTGCTCAAGGTCCTTACATAATATGGTAGATTGTTTGCATATAACATAACACATCCTCCCATATACACTAAATCATCTCATGATAATAACGAATATAGTACAAATGCTATGGAAATAGTAGGCTGTATTATTTAAGGTATATTGAGAAGAAAAAAAAATCTGCACATATTTAGTACATGTTCAATTTTTTCTGAATAATTTTGATCTGCATTTTTTTGAACCTGTGGATATAGAACCCACAGATGCAGAGAGCTACTGCATATACAAATATATATATGTATATATGTATATACTATACATATATATGCACATATATGTATTTAGAGAGAATGATAAAGCCAATATATATGACATTTGTGGTATCTGGGTTGATGATTATAGGAATTCTTAGTGATGCTTTTGTTCTTTTTTTGTAAATCTGAAATTACTTCAAAATGAGAACTAAATATACATACATATATAGTTATATATGTACTACATATATGTACATACACATACACACACAGATACAGTATGTATGTGTACTTATATGTGGGCAGAATGAAAACCCCTTTTTGCAAAGCCTAATGCAGTAGTCACACATCTGGAGAATTCACTGTGAAAGCAGTCTCTAGCTATTTAATAGTATGGATACAGTATGTTAAATGCATCAAGTTTATTAAAAGTAAAGTCACCTGTAACCAACCAGCCATAAAGGCTTTCTGTTAACACTTCCTCCCCCTCTGGCCCCTGCACACTGTCTCGTACAGTCTTGGACACACTGAGAAGATGGCCCTCCTGGTCCTCTGTAGGCCACTTAAGACACCTTTGAGTCCAAATATCTCCTGTAGGCAAAGCCATGAAGACCTTGAGAGCTAGACCTTCTCAATCCACAGCTGCTTGGTAATGATAATGGAAGTCTATCAGCAGAAAGCTCATTCCCACCCATTCCTTCCACCAAAGGCTCAAGGTCACTAAGTATCAGGGGCAGAGCCCCCGATTTGGGTTTCTTAATCTAAAGGACCTTTCTACTGTATTGCATCTCCCCAAAGTATTTTCTTATTTCACACAAAAGATAAATTAGAAGTTTTTTCATAACTCTTAAAAAGATTTTATAAGGAAGTTTCTTCAAATAGTAAATGCCACATAAGCTCTCAAAGGTAAATCTATTTTTTTATCTAAGTTCCATTTTCATGCAGCTTTCCAAAGCTCCTTTACATGGTCATTGTGTAGTTAAAATACCCACCAGATGGGCAGGTGGAGCTGGCTGCTGCTCAGCAGCATGGTATAGAGCACACACGGATGGCCAGGCGCTCAGCCCAGGGCCCCTGAGGTACTCCACAGCTCTGCCTGACCCCAGGGAGCACAGTGTCCAGTGGGAGAACTGGAGGAAAACACCAAAAGCCACTCTAGATGCCAACAGCCATGTTACTAGCTGAGGCAGAAGGAGGTGAAGTTGTTGCAGAAACACCAACACAGAGCTGAACCTGTCTGGTCTGCACAGGAGCAGCAACAGTGTCATGAGGGAAAGGACAGCTTGGCTGTGACAGTGAACTTGACCTTGGCCAGGCCCCAGTTCCCTAGGTTAAGCTTGTTCTCATGGTTAAAAGTTGATTCCAAAAAAATTAGATTCTTTCAGTGGACATACACTTACACACACACACACACACACACACACACACATACATGTTTATCATATACACAGAGTTTTCTTTTTTAAAAAAAAGATCCTTTATTTTGTAAAGAAAGCCAGATGCTTTCCTGTATCATTTTTCCTTCTTTTATTTCATTCCACGTAACTAAATAGCATTTATTTTACTGTTACTACGTGCGAGGCCCTGCACTGAGTCTTCTTTATGGGTCCACTTGTTACCCCATTCTGTGAGGTAGTATTACTGTGGTTCTCATTTCACAAAGAAGGATTGGAGGCCCAGACAGGTTCAGCAAATTACTGGAGGTCACACAGTGTGGAAGAAGTAGAGCTGGGATTTGAGCCCCGTTCTGTGGTTCCAAAAACTTGTACTTTACACCCCAGGTGCACCACCTCTTTGGTGGATGGGATACGAAGGAAGGGAGCATCTGAAACCTCAGGGTGGTGGCCACTGGGAAGGTGCCTTGTACTCAATGTTAGTAGTAATCAATTTACTGAGCTCAGTATCCTAAATCCGGAGTCTAGTAAAAGAGGGAAGAGATCCCACTAGTATAAGAACCAGACCTATGAGCCTCCATATCTGAGTTTCTCCAGAGCAAAGATTCTCTGGAGGCCAGCCTCCTTGTGTATCTCCAGCATCCACATTTGGCTTGATGTGATCAGAATTCATGTTGGTTTCCACAGTAGCTCAGAGGTCTCCTGGGTGCCAATTTCCTGCCTCTTTGTCATATGCTGCCATTGGCCCTGCAAACCCTGAAAGCCCCGCAGACATGAAGGCAGGCACATCTCATTAAGGTTCAAGATATGATGTCTTTAAAGTTCTTTTTTATTTTTAGTGCACTCCTTCAACTTGTTGCCATACACGTTGCTAGGATGGCTTTTAATCTCTGTCAAAGACCTCCAAAGTATTCTTTTTCAGAGGTTTTTTTTTTTTTTTCCTCCTCTATCTCTTTCTTACGGTTTCCTTTTGATTATATTCCTTCCCCCAAAATCTTAATTTGGGGCAGGGTGGTATCCATCAAAAGCAGCATTTTGAAGTAAAGATTAATTTCTAACTTATGGTAATCAGACCTTCTGATCAACTTCTGATAATAAATATTTCCCCCTGGACCTGCCATGATTTCAGCAGAACCCCCCAATAAACCACATTCTCTTTGGGCTTAGAGCCTTAGCGATAATAAGAAGACTTATTTTGTGCCAGAAATTATTCTATGAGTTTTGCATGGATTAACTCAGTAATTCCTCATAGTAACCAGACAAAAAAATAGTAACAGTGCCCCCAACTGGACACCAGAGGACACTGAGACACAGAGAGAAGCATCAAAGCCAAGATCCGCACCCAGGCCTTCTCTGTCGGGGGGTCCCTGCTTTAAAACACTGACACATATTCCTCCCCCCGCAGGTCTGTTTCAACGCCTGGTAGAAACTCTAGCCAGCATTAAGATGTTCAGGTGTGGGATAAAACCTTCAGTCCCCATCTAAAGATCCAAACTGCTCAGGACTTCTGGTGTTTCTTTTCTTAAATATGTTGTGGAATGAGATTTCCAAACTTCAGTTCCTAACTTGATCATCCTAGAGGTCAGAAGTATCTCATAAGATCCAAACCAGTGATTCTCCTACTTTATCTTGGATTCCTGCTTCCTTCTTATTTGACCCACTCTTGAGCACAATAAAATGGAGTTGTCCTTCCATGTGTTAAAGGAAAAAAAAAGAGAAAATAAATTTGTACATTCAAGTCACTCTGTGGTTTTTTTTTCTTTTTTAATTTAGATATGCAAGAGCTTCCGAGACTAAAAATGTCACCTTTCTATTTTATGATGGGAAAACTGAGGCCAAGATCACATGAGTCTTGTCTTGATGCTGTAGCGAGATAGCAGCGGAGCAAGCTCTACAGAGGTGGACGAGTTTGTTCACCTTACACACTGGTCTTTGTCGATTTTATCATTTCTCCTGACCATCCCAAACCCTTTGCAATGTGTGGTGACCAGATATGAACAAATATTTTCAAGATTCTAAACATTACAGAGGGGAACTTCCTCCACACTCAGGTTAGAAAAGGTGTCCAAACTGCAGGGCCACCTCCATGACCAATACCCAGAGGAGAAAGACCCTTGACGCAGAACGACTTTCATTCTTTCTGTTTGTCTTCACTTGGTTTAGAAGTTCTGAAGAAGATAGGCGGGTGATAAGATATGTGTGTTATATGACCCACCAAGCTCAAAATCCATTTGAAGTCCTTGCAATTGACCTTTACACTACAGATTTCTGACTAGGTTTTTCCCATTTGGGAGATAAGGAATATGATCCACCCTCTCTCTTTTCTTTTCTTTTTTTTTTTAATACTTTTTTACTTATAGATGGACACAATATCTTTATTTATTTATTTGTATGTGGTGCTGAGGATCGAACCCAGGGCCTCACACGTGCAAGGCAAGCGCTCTACCACTGAGCTACAGCCCCAGCCCCGCTTTCTTTTCTTGAGCAACTATTAGCAACTCCCAGCTTTACACAATTCCATGGTGGTAAAGGAAATCACCCTCAGAAGTGTAGGAGACACAGCTAGTTCACAGTTACGAAGACACCTCTTTCAAAACCGATTATTTCTCAAACTCCTGTTATTAAAGATCAAAAGGATGCTGAGTATAGGCAACTGGTATTTTCAATAAAAGCAATTTCCAATAACGTAGCAGAGATGTGGAGATGTTCCCGAGAGAGGCATGGCTTTTCCACAGTATCTCGGACCCCTCCCTGTAACTTTCTGAGAAAGAGTTAACTCAGTACCGGCTCAGCTTCCCATCAGCCCTCCGTTTTCTTCTGAGTTATTTTATTTATTTGTGCTGATTTTTTAGTCCAATGTGTCATTATTGGACTTATTTGTGCTTGAAAGAATAATGTGAAAGTCTGCAGGAATTAAATATGGAGCCATCTTACTGTCACCCTCCCCCTTTCCCTGTTGATGATTTTTGCATTCCAGTCATATTGGGGTGGTTGAAAGCTTCACGCGTACTTATCTGACTCCAGCTCTTATTATATTTGATCGGTAAAAGTAATCACAGAATTTTTAGAAAGTCTTGTGCCAAGATTTTAGATGCTCTGGGATATGAGTTTATAGCTTTGTTACTTAACCTAAATGTTTTAGCTGTGACTTCAAGAGACTCTTGCCATATGTTTAATCTTAATATTGAAACAAATAATTCTGACATATTAAACAGAAATGTAGAGCCGGCTAATGTATATAGTTGTCACTGACTCAATGTCTCTTCCTGTTTTCCAGTGCCCTGGTCATTGAAAAACAGCAGCATAGACAGTGGCGAAGCCGAAGTTGGTCGGCGGGTGACACAGGAAGTCCCGCCAGGGGTGTTCTGGAGGTCACAGATTCACATCAGTCAGCCTCAGTTCTTAAAGTTCAACATCTCCCTGGGCAAGGACGCTCTCTTTGGTGTTTATATAAGAAGGGGACTCCCACCATCGCATGCCCAGGTATGGCCAGGTTCCGTGTAACTATGTGTTTAAAAATGTATGCATATGCACCTGCCACTTTACACCCACGGGGACACCTCTCATTAAAGCCTGGACAGTAACAGGCATGGCAAAGGTGCAGAGAGATGGAACCCTATAAATTGCCAGGAGCCATGAAAAATGGTGTTTCAATCCCCAAAAGGGGTTGACAATGCTTCCAAAGTTAAACATGGGATGACCAAATGACCTAGCAATGCCACATCTACTATGTGCCCAAAGAGAATTGAAAACATTATTATTTGTTTTATTTATTTATTTATTTACTTACTTACTTACTTATTTTGGTACAGGGATTGAACCCAGGGTGCTTTATGACTAAGCCATATCCCCAGCCCTTTTTAAATTTTTTTAATTTTGAGACAGGGTCTCGCTAAATTGCTGATGGCCTTGCTAAATTGCTGAGGCTGATTTTGAACTTGCAATCCTCCCGCCTCAGCCCCCTGAGCTGCTGGGATTACAGGCATGTACCACCATGCCCGGCAAGACATTGTTTTCTATAAAATATATGCCAATGGATATTGCAGCATTAGCAGAACAGCCAAAAAGTATAATCAACTCTAATGTCCAAATGATGAATGGATAGAAAAAAATGTGACATAGCCATACAATGGAAGATTATTCAGATCTAGAAAGGAATGGAACATTATTTCAAGCTACAACATGCATGAACTTTGAAAACACTATGCTTAGCGGGAAAGAGGCAGATACAAAAAGCCACATATTGTATGATTCCACTTATATGAACTGTTCAGAATAGGCAAGTCCATAAAGCAGAAGATTGGTGGATTCGTGTTTACCAAGTATTGGACTGACTGTTAATAGGGATGGAATTTCTTGCCTAGGATGATGGACATGCTCTGATATTGGGTGGCTGGCATGATGGCATAACAGTGAATGTACTAGAACTTCTGAATTATAAAATAGCGACACTTATGTTACAGAAATCATATATATTTTTTAAAAAGGTAACATCCCTATCTGGTGAAGCTAGCTTTGCTTGCCCTGCAGGTTAATTTTGGATTCTTTGTTATTGAGTTCATTCATTGAAACATCACTTGGCAACCTTCTACTGTCTATGGGAATTTATGTAACAAATCAAGATTCCACAGTGGTTTCTGATTGGACCCCTGCTCGATTCCTTGGGAAGTCCTTAGCACTGTGAAGCTGAGATTATTCCCAGTACCAAAAATAAGAAGACTAGATTACATTGTGGGTTACTTTTTTTTTCCTCTTAAGTCTTGTTTAATTTGTCCTGGTAGAAATTTTATTACACATGCCATTTGGGGTGATTGAACACCTGTCTAGCTAGGTTTTCTTTTCCAGTAATAATTATATGTCCTGAGACAAGCCACGTGCTTTTCTCTTCCTTGTTTACCCTCAAATCCAGCAAAACATAAAGCACATTAGGAAAAAACACCAGTAGAGAGGGAACCTGTATATCCAGTCAAAGCTGACTTTGACATGTATTGGAAAGGTACTCATCTAGAAAATTCAATTGGAAGAATTTAAGGCTTTAAAACCATGGCAAATGTGAGGCTATCGGGCCACCCTTTCCTTGTCCTTAGCTTGTGGCAGGCATTGCTAATCAATGACAGTACTTTTCCTCACTGGACCCAGTGCACAAATACCTCCGACATAACTCTCCAGGCAGCCACTACCAATCGACCAGTGTTGACTCTCAAGATGAAACTTATTTGCAATCCCATCTTTATAGCCTGAAATGATCAATATGAGGACTCAAAGGACTCTTTCGTTTTTGAGCAGGGAGGGCTGTGTATGTTTTTATTACCCTACACAGCCCATGCTATAGGGACCAATGTGTAAAATGGTAATCAATCATCCATCCATCCAAAAAGATATTTATTGGGCTAGGCACTGATTATCCAGAGATGAGTTAACACAGCCCCTGACCGAGAAGAGCTCCTCAGACAGAAATCGCATCTGCTCTCCACAGAGATTCTCACCCAGAAAAAAGACAGGAATTCAGCAGAAAGGAGTCCCAGGGGCATTGTTGTAGCTTCTGGCAGGGCAGCAGGGTGCTGCTCCGGGAAGTTATGCAGACTGTTCGGTGGTTTCCTTGACCTTCAGGCTCCAGTGATTCTGCTGGAGCCTCGTGCAGGGTTTGCAGTGGTGAGATGTGCTTATTGGCAGGATTCGGGTGAGCACGAACATGCCTCTGGGCACAGCTGAGCATAACTTTCCTCTCAGCCAGTTGACTGCAAGAAACTATGCTGGGGAAACATTTCCTCCCTACATTGTTTTAAAGCACTCTCCTTCCGCCCTTCTTTTGCATGCTTTTGGCAAAGAGAGTCTTGGAAAAAAACAATAATTACAGCAAGACAAGTCAAGACTCTGCAGCTGACTGATGGGGGACAGCAGGCAGGAGCACACTCCACCCCGTTTCCCTGCTGCTCTGACAATCAGGAGTCCAGTCCTCAGTGACAATGTCCTTTTTTCTTTTGTGGCTGTACCACACTGTCCATCTCCTGCCAACCTGGTGATTGTTCTAGTGATCATCCTCTCAAAATAGCTCCAGGGACAGCCCCATCACACATCTCAAGGGGAGGGAAATGAATAGGCATAGATGGATGCGTGCTGGGATATCGGTGGAGCTGCCAATTTAGGAATTCAGGGTGTATCGGGGGGTCACCGAAGCGAGGAACAGTGCAGATACTCTGAAATGCACAAGACAGGTACAATATAGGGGCGCTACTTAAGAAAAGAAAGGAAAAAAGAAAACACCTCCTTACACATCCCCAAATTCATTCCCTGCCATTACTTGCGTTCATGTCCATTTGATGAGCTACATTTCCTGGAGGAGACGGTGCTTAGCTCTTCACCGAGATAGGTGACTCACTCACGTCTCAAACTATTATAGAATTTCTCATTTCTATTGGCATATCCTATCAAGGAACATAAGTTCTATGGGGATTGGCAGTCTAGCCAAGGTGACTCATGTGAGCTGGAGAGGGCGGAGGAGACGGGGAGGGGGGATTCCGTTGGCTATGTTGTATGAAATGGTTATGTTTAAATTTTACAGAGTCTCATGCTCTGACCAAATGCCTATAAGGTTTAGTATCCTTGTCCAAGGATATTAAATACAGAGGAGAATCCTTTTTTACCTGCTTAAATTTCCCAAGAATCAGAACCAGTCCCAGCTGAGTTTTTGAAACTGGTTTTTTACAAAAGATACAGAGGCAACATGGTCTAGGAGAGGAATTCCTGGAGCTAAAGAGAGCACTGCTGAATGTAACCCTGCCTCACAGTAGCCAGGTGACCTTGGATGTGTCCCTCAACCTGCCATGGCCTTGGTCTCCTTCTCTACCTGTGACCTAAGCCTCAGGACATTGTTGTGATTACGTAACAACAAAGATAGAATGAGAAAGCACTTTATAAACCAACACAGTGAAAAGAAGATATTATATACAAGTGATTCATTATGCATTTAAAAATTGGGTGCTAGGGGTTTAGCTCAATGATACAGCACTTGCGTATCATGTGCGAGGACCTGAGTTTGATCCCCAGCACCTCAAAAAAAAAGTATATGTAACCCTAACAAGCACTGTTTATAGATAGGCAATTATATAAATATAGACTTTTAAAATAAATTCATTTCCTAGTTATTTTCTTCTTACTAAAGAACAAACTACATCTGTATTGCAGAAAAATTTTAGCAACCAAAGAAGAAAGTAAAAATATCCACATTTCAAAATAGTCCCCTTTGGCTAAATGTTAATGTATTGTTTTTGCTATTTTTTAAAAAAATCCACTGCATTAAAACACAGTCTGAGAATCTTGGTGGCTTAAAATAACTAGGGCAATTTCTTGTTTACTCTGTATCCAGGGCTCTTGACCAGGGGTGATTTTGGCCTATACCCAATCCCATCCCCAGGTCATTTGGTAATATTTGAAAATTTGGGGAGTTGTCACAACTGGGAGGAGATCATTACCAGCATCCTGGGGTAGAGCCAGAGATACTGTTAAGCCCCCAAATTGTACTCAGGAGCCCCAACTCAGAACTACCCAGATTCGAATGTCACTAGCTCTGAGTGGTTCACATTCCTCTTCAGTTCATTAGGACTTTGCTCAAGGTAGACCTCATTCAAGGACACAAACCAACAGAGGCTTCACTATCCAGAATATCACCAGCTCCTCTGTACACCAATTCCTGATGAATTTTGTTTGGAAGTGACGTATAAACTTTGAAGTCTTTCTCATATTAACCAAAGCAAGTCACCTCCTAACTTCAATGGAGCAGGAAGTACAATCTAAAGATGTCCCTGGAAGGAAGAACACCAGAAATATCAATGAAAAACCCTAATGACTTACACATAAAATGCTATGATACCTGTCCTCGTGGCTGGTCTTTGCCTCCTCAATCCGTGTCCTAAAAATAAACCCTTATGGGTTTTATTCATATTGCTAAATTGTCCTGAAAGATTGCACCATTTATACTCCTACCCACCGGCAGCGTTGCCTAATGCCCATTTCATTTACTTGAACCCTTGCATAAAATAGGTATTACCAATTTTGAAGCCTTGTCAGTTTGAAAGGTAGATATTACATTGTGTTTTAAATGCAACATTTTGACACTCTGCATTGCATTTTTTAAGACACAGTCAAAAAAAAAAAAAGTCAGTCTTGAGCCATTCTTAGCCTACCAACTTGAATTCTTAGGAGGATGATGTGTGTACAGCAGCAGTCTAGCGCATCTTACCAAATATTTGAAATCCTACAAACTGTCAGATTTGCTGAACCCTGGTTGTAGAAAGGAAATAGATCAGACTGGGGGAAAGAAATAATAATCTGACCTGGCTACAGTGTTCTAGGCATCAAAGGAAATCTCAGAGGCTGTTGCTGCAAGTCGGAATCTTGGGTGGTTAAGGCAGTGAGCAAGTTTGCCTGACAGTTCTTCACTGATTGCTGCTGATATGTCAAGCCAAGTAAAACCCTTTGCGAGA